CAATGCTGACGTTGAGGCTGTGCACCTTTGGCGGCCCTGCTCTCAATTTCACTTGCAAAAATATCCAAACTCACCCTGAAACAGGAAGTTAAAGCTTAAATAAAACCTGATATGTTTCCTACTTGGGAAAAAATGGTCATTAAATAATCCAGACTCTACCTCGTCCACGCCTGAGCACGGTTCAAGAACAGACTTGGAGATCTAACAAACTTAGGGTCACGTCCTGGGTCTATGGTTTAACGGTGATTTTAACAGAAGTCAGTATAGCTTCCCAAGTCTTCCTCTCTTTAGCTGGGAAATGGGAATAAAAACCTCTAAGAAATTCTTGTGGAGATTAAAGATGCATTTGCAATGGTAAATGTTTTACAAAGTTAGCACATATGAAATATATATGACCTCTCATAACTGGATAATGTAAAGTTCTGACATAAAATTTAGGTCAGTAGACTTTATATATCACATATGGACTACCAACTCGATACAATTAGAAAATAATGTAAAGTAATATTGAAATACTAAAACTGTTTTAGAGATACAATGCTCTGAGTGTCAGTCCTAAGTAAAGTCCTCATGAATAAGTGGCCCAAATGTAGTTTTCATAGTCAGCCCAGTGTAGCCAGCTGGGCAGACTGGGTAGAGGTCCAGGGACTTCATGTGCAGGGGCTGGCACTGGGTTCCTCGCGCACTTCATTCTAACCCCTTAATGGCTTAGGCCTAGAGTAATTGGGGCAGGCTGGTCAGCAAAGTCTTCTCCTTGTATGATAAGGTCACGGTTGATGACAACAGAGATGGCAAAGACCTGTGGGCACTGACCACTCCTAATGGCAAATTTGTGGAGCGGGTAGCAACAGCAGCTGAGGTGAGGCATGCGGGAGATCAGGCTACCCGAGATAACAATCCTGCTTCACGGCCAGCGGGGTGTGTGTGGTAAGTGAGGTTTTTTCTGATCATTCTTTATTTTCTTATGAACATGAACATGAAATATCCTGATGAAGTTGGCCTGATATATAGTAGTTGTTTTGAAACCTGAAAATGTCTGGCGGCATCACTGCATCGTTAGTGATTTAAAAGGCATCTAAAGAGCTCAGAACACTGGGAGGTTTACTCACATCAGCTCTCATCCTCTTGAGATTCTGTGGGCCAGTGCTCATAGCTGCTACGAAATGGTGGATGCTGACACTAACTAGGGTCTCTCGGGCTCAACTCTGTATTCTAATTAAATGAATATTTATTTAGAAGCAACTATATGAAGGCACGTGGCTAAATAACGTTAACAACTGAAAAATGAGTAAGACATTTCCTGCGCTTAAAGAAGAACATTCCAGAGGATTTTACAGGTTCACAAGTAACTACGAGATAAAACGTGATACATGCTTTAGGGAAGAAGCAACACTATCACTGTGATGGGGGTGACAGGCATTTGGAGAGGGAGCACGCCAGGCCGCGGAGAGCGGTGCAGGGTCGCAGCTCTAACTGCCTTCAAATCCAAGCTGAATTTCTGCGGGGAAGGTGGAGCCGCAATAGGACGCCAGAAAGAGCAGGAGCAAGACAGCGAGCACAATTCAAAGAACAGAGAGTTCGTTGACCAACTGGTGTGCAGACAACTTGTAGCGAGAGATAAAGACGGGAGGAAGTTTGGGCCCAGGAAATGAAGGACTTGAAATGTCAGGTTGAAGAACTCAGAATTTATTTAGCAGGTAATGGAGTCTGTTGAGATTTCTGAGCAGAGAATGATATAATCAGCCGAGTTGGAGTCTGACACATCCTTCCACACTCGAATAACTTTTCTATGAAATATAACTTTATCAAAATATCTTTATGAATAAAATGACAATACCCATACAATATGAACAAGCAATAGAACCACAGTAAAAACAAAAGATGTAAATAGTATAACATCCCAGCAAGTACATAAAGCCTTATCCAAGAACACTGTCAATTTTCTCCCCTAATAACCACTTGATGTCAATTGCTACAGCCAATATTCTATTCTTTACAGAGCATGGCACAAACTAGCACTAGTCACTGGGTTCTTTCCTTAGGCTGCGGCATACAGCAGACGTAAAGAAGATGAGGTAAGACCACACCGAAACTACAATTTTCGTCATAATTACTGCCGTAATATTGGTGTCCTGCCTTTAAAAAGATAAAAATAAAAGAAAAATAAAAAAAAAATTGACTTTTGTTTTGGTGAGCAATTTGGTGAGCAACTGTTTAAAATCATAATTACGGAGATGAGGTAAGAAATGGAGGAATTATGCCACCAGTTACAAACTATATAAATGTAAATTCATATAGAAGAGACTGGATGACAATACATCAATAAAGAACAATAGTACTAATTGTGCTGAGATAATTTTATTAAAGGGATGGAGCTATCTTCTGTTTTATTTGCCGAAATGCTATTATGTGGTTTCAGTAAAGAAAACAGGATTAAAAATAGATCTTTGAAATAAGCTAATGGTACTTTGGAGACACCCCATGAAAAAAGAAACGAGTGCAGAGGTGTCTCTCCGGAGGGAGGGGCCCCAGGGCAGTCAGGGTGCGGTGCCTGTTCCCAGAAGAACTTGCGCCACCAAAGCCAGAGCATCAAATGAAAAGCACAGAACTTCACTATAGTTCTGTGTGACAGTACAATCAGAAGAAGACAGCGAACGGGGAGAGGGGTGAATGTAGGACTTCTCGTCGAGTTATGGCTCATATTCCCAACACCCTTTTTCTTTCTTTGGAAATGAGAAATAAGAAATACATAACAGAATACTAAGAATGAAACCAATTACCAGTTGATAATTAGCACCATCGATTTAGACATAGAGCAATTTTATTCTTTCTTTTTTAAGTAAACCAGTGAAAAAAAAATGTTTTCTGATAAATCAAGCAATTAGCGGAGACAATGATACTTTCTTTTTTTGTTGTTGTTTTTTGGTCTTTTTGAGACAGGGTCTCGCTATGCAGTTCAGGTTAGCCTTGAGCTCACTTTGTAGCCCAGTCTGGTCTCGAACTCACAGTGGTCCTCCTGCCTCAGCCTCCTGAGTGCTGGGATTACAGGCATGCACCACCATGCCCGGCTGACAATGATACTTTCTTAAATGCCCTGTGAGTGGTATATTTAATCATTAATTACAAATAGTCTTCTCATTACATTACTAAGAATAATCTCACCTATAGAATTATTCACAGTTCTACAATATGTAGAGCAAGTAAATGAATAAAAAAGCATCACTATGTAAAATACAGCATTTTATTTATTTATTTGTTTGTCTAGTTTGATACTGGGAATTGAACTCAGGACCTTGTACTTGCCAAGCAGGTGTTTGTGCCACTGAGCTATATCTCCAGCCTCTACAGCATTTTATTATTTCACAAGGATTTATGCATTATCCTATAATTAATGTTCTGTTTGTAGATGGTTTTAGAGCAAAGGTCTGAGTCAAAGGCAAGTAGTATTGAACATCTTCGCTTTCAGGACTTTGTTATTTATGTGATATTCTTACCATTAATTTAAATTACATTTTTAGGGGCTGGGGATTTAGCTCAGTGGCAAAAGCGCCTGCCTGGCAAGTGCAAGGTCATGAGTTCGGTTCCCGGTACCGGAGAAAAACCAAAAAAAAACCAAAAAAAAAAAAAAATTAGATTTTGAGCTGTACCTTTGCCATGCATACTGCGTAACACAGAAGCAAACATCACCCTCGGAGCCCACTTTCCTGAGTGGCCTCCTCCCCCAGTGGCTGTAGCTCAGACCTGGCCCCGCACACTGGAGCTATTTTTCTGGGTGCACAAACACTTTTCACCCTGCCTCTCTTGCCTGGTGTGAGGAAGCTGTACAGAAGGAAGGCAGGGTCCTGGCAGTATTTCACACTTCATTCCACACAAGAGGCAAAGGTACGAGTGAGGGAAATTAGGCAGACAGCCATGTGTGGCCAAAGGAAAGGCTTTCTATTCTGTAGAAGCTGACTCCCCCGGCATGGGTAGAAGAAAGGCCCATGAGTGAGATCATGTCAGCTTCCTCTGCTCACATAGTAATGCTGGCCTTCTTTCCTTTCGGAAAAACAAGTCATCCGTGCTCCAGAGTTCAGGGCAGCATTGTGAAATGTTTCTGAACTCCTGGTGACAGCATACCAACACAGGGCCAGGGGACAGGCCCAGGCCGGCTTTTCCAGGCCTGGCCCGAGAGCCCCTGGGAGTCACAGAGCCCACTTCATGCCCCTGTAATCCATGCCTCTTATTATGCAAATCAGCGAACTTCGGCAAACATGTGCTAAATAAGTGGGCTTGAAGTTTAAAGGAAAATATTTCCTTCAAGAATCTCAAGATAGTGTTGAGTTGGTTTGGGGCTTAATGATCCATTTTTAAATGGTAAAGGGAAGTGATTCCAGGTTTTGGCACTGCTCAGAGTCGTACAGAGCAAGAGTCAGAAAAGTCATTTCACAGATGAACTCTATGGAAAAAGAATTCTTAAATTATATTTTAATCCATGGATTAGTATATTAGATTTCATTTAGAATTCTTTTTCTCAGTAAATTATTTTTGCTCTCCAGGAGGGATTCTGGTTAAAAAATATGACATCATTTCCCAGAGTCAACCTTAAATCACAGAAGATTGAAAAGTATAAAAGATCACAATATTTTATATAAGATTCTTTAATCAAACACTGACATTATGCAAATATTTTATGGAAAATCGGCCTCTAAGTGACTGAACAATAAATAATAAGTCATATGTTGGTATGTGAATTCTAAATTAAAATCAAGTGTGTAGAAATGTCTTCATTTTAATTTTTTTGGCAATGGTTGCTTATTTGAATTTGTAAACGTCTCTACTTAGAAGAAAAGACCCTGGAGCAGGTCTTCCCCTGACTCCATTCACCAGGGCAGAAGTTTCCAGGAGAGTGATGAGGCATCGCTCCAACAGCCCCCACCTCACCTTGGAGTAAGGTTCCCAGGAGGTCAGGTTTCTCAACAGAGAGGATTTTGAAAACAAAGTTATCTCCCTCCAGGTAATTTGACAGTACATTGGATACTCTGCTAACCAGGCCCCAAACAGCCAAGTCCCAGACCAACTGGGAGTCGGAGCCCTGATCTGTGGCCATCACATGCGGCTAATTGCCTGGACTGTGTCTCCTCTCTGCAGAGGATCTGCGCGCCTCAGCTCCCATCGGCTGTGCGCTTGCCAAGCGTAAGTTGTGTTTGTCCCCATAGAAGCTGTCTTTGTTATTATACTTCTATAATTTACTTAGGATTTAAAACAAAGAGATAAAATAAAAGCAACAGAAGAAAGAGATTTGCATTTTCTCTGAGATTGGGTTTTTGTGTCATTATATTAGGTGTGGGTGAAAAAATTGTAAATGAGTGATAGGATAACATACACATTTAAGAACAATATGTTCTCAGATTGCTTCAAAAGTTTAAGTTCCTGCTCTACATAAAAGAAACCCAAACCAAAGAAATCATACAGCTGAGATAATCAAAAAAGAAATCACAAACTGGCCAGAAAGTGTTAGATTAATGTACATTTATATGCTGTAAGTTAAAAGAAAATGGTTTTTATATGGTTAAAAAAAGCAAATGTTTAAGATATGCGTGTGCCATCACTCATGGTTCCATTTTAATTACCTTTTTACTGTCACCTCACAGATGACCAACCCTGATGATCCTGAATGGGATGCAGTGTGCAGAGCTCCCGGGAGAGGACGAGGTAAGGAAGTAGACCCACGGTTCAGGAAGCTGGGTCAGTCGGAGCAAGAGTAGGAGCCTGAGCCGTGATAATGACAGGAAATTTGGAGGAGTATGTAAAGAAAAATGGAAGAGGAGACAGCTCCCCGAGTGAGTCCGGCAAACAAGTCTGCATGGAAGTGGGAGTGGGAGGAGCACTTTGGGAACACACAGGGAGTCTAGGGAAAGAGGCTAATTTAATGAAGGGACGGAAACTTGGGATTTTGGTTTATCAACTGTAGACTAAAAGAAACAACTGGGTAAAGACACCTTGAGGCTGTTAGGAAGTACTTCAACTCTAAGCCTGCAACTTAGGAGAGAATTAGATGATGGAAATACACGTTTCAAAGCAGCAGCCTAGACAGTAGCAATTAAAACCCTGAGGATGGAAGAAATCTAGAGGAAATCAAGAGAGAAGTAACCAAAGGGGGAAAAATTTTTGTTTGAGTGCAAAAGGTTTAAGAAGACCCACAAAGGTGGAAGAAGCATCTAGTAAGTAAAGATGGGAGTCACAGTAGCCTGAGGTCTTGGAAGCCCAGGGAACAGAGAGCTGGGGAAGTAACAGGTAGTCAGGGACACAGGCTTCAGGGAAATGTCCTTTAATCTGTTCCTCACCAGGCTCCAGCCAAGGAAATGCACTCATTACAAAGATGAGGGAATCGCCAGATCTGCCAGTGCTAAGGCCAGGGTGGGAAGGGACAGGAAGGGCAGCAGGAACTCAGGAAGCTGATGGTGACGAGGAAGGAAGCACTCACGCCTTTGAAGGTGAAAGGTTCGACTGTGACCCTTTAGGCCAGGGTAACGAAAGCCTGAGATGACCACATTCATGAGAGAGGGAAGGGAGTGCTAAAGACGGAGTGGATAAGATGGAACGAAAGAGGGTGAGGACACCAAGGGGTCAGAGAAGCGAGAGAACAAGAGGGAGCGAACTTGGCGACAAGGAAATAACCTTCTGTGTTAGTCAGCTTTCCATCAAAGACAAAATATATGAGATAAACTGAAAGGAAGACAGGCTTGACTTGGCTCCTGGTCTCAGAGGCTTTAGTGCATGGTGCCTTGGTGCATTGCTTTGAGCCTCTGCAAGTCATTAACGCTTGGTAGGGGTGTGTGGTGGAGGAAGTTGCTCAGTTCACAGTGGCTGAGAATCAAATAAAGAGAGAGAGAGAGAGAGAGAGAGAGGGGTCAGCGTCCCAATACAGCCTTTAAGGGCAGGACCCAATGACCTACCTCCCCACCACTAGGCTCCACATTAGTTTCCCCCACCTTCCCACAGCACCATGTGCTAGGACCAAAGCATTAATACATGGGCCTTCAGGGGGCATCCCAGGTCCAAAGTATAGCAACTCCTTCCTAAAGATAGGAATGAGGAAAGAGAGAATTGTTCATGTCCACTAGCTTCCATTTGCTTACTGAAATCTTCTCACACCATGGCCAAATCAATGTTAGGTGAATAAAAGTGTCAAATGTTATCTGTTACCTGTGATTATTAAGGTCAGGGTTGGAGACTGAATGGATGCATGATGTTAGCAAGTGAACCACTGATTAGGACATGCAGTGTAATAGCACTCAATGCCACATACAGAAAACACAATAAAAATATTTGCTATTGATTTTTTTTCAAGGTGGGTAAACATTACATAGGCAATATCACTGTTATAGATAGGATCAGGAAAAGATTGAATTCAATATTCTTGGGTTTCTTTTCAGGCTTCCCGTTTGGTTGAGAAGCACAGATACCTAGGGACCCACTTTTCACGGGGACAAAATTGTTGATGCATGGCATAGGTAATAGCACAGTCACTTTGAGAATCCATCGTACTGGATAATTTGCCCAGCTCAGCACTGACTTGAACTCTTCTGCACACAAATTTTCTTACTAATGGTTGGTATTTCTTCATGAAACCTCTCCTAGGTATTTGAGTATTTGCTTTTTGAAAAGCAAAGATTTTGTCTTGATAGGGATGACAATTTCTCTTCTTGCCAGAAACGCCACCTGACAGCCTTTCTTACCCATTCCCAGTGACTTAAAAAGTGCCAGATTTAAACACGAAGCAGTTGAAATCATGTTTTCCTTTTAGAAACACTGAACAACCACAGCGTTTGGAATCAAATGTGATAAGACTCAGCCTTTACTAGATTATTTCAATTTTATGCTAAAACATTGCAATTTTATTGAGTAAACTTGAAAGATACATTCTGTTTCTTTTGTACATGGACATTTGCCCACATCAATCTTACAGACAGGAGTAAAGAATTTGCAGGTTTGAAAGGGATGTAATGTTGCCTTGCTTCACTCTCTCCAGATATCTCGTCTCTCCCGTGAGGTCATCTTAGTCCCACATAGGCTTATTTAAATTCTGCTCATGAGGCCCCTGTAGCTTTACGAATCACCTTTAAGATGAGAACAACCCCAAGAGAGGAGATTATTGTTAACACCTTATAAATTGGTATATCAAATTAGTCAGCCTATTAGCAAGGGCATTTAGGTCCAGAACAATTAAGGACAGAAAGGCAAACAATCTAGAGTCTAGGTAGACCAAGGAGGGGTACAGATATGCGTGGCAGACAACCCGCGGTGGAGAATCCTGTGCAGTTGGCCTGGTTCAGTTCCCTGGAGCAGGTACAGAAGGCATTACACTGTCCAAAGAGGGAACCCTTTGCTTTCCTTAGCTGACCAAGGGAGCCAGAACCCTGAGGACAGGGCCCATTCCAGAACAAACATACTTATAATGTCACTAGTGACCCCTCTGTGATCTGTTCTCCCCTTTGGTAGCACCCAGCTGCAAGACACAGAGTTGTACAACACCAGGTGGGCAATTAAGCCAGATGATACTTGAAACTTCTCCTGACATCCAGATTCTTTGATGCCGTAAAATATTGCTGAAATGGGCTTAAGCTTAAGGTTTCAAAGGTTTTGTCAGATAAGACTCTCTTACAATAAATTTTTTGATTTTTAAAAGACATGTTCTAGTTAGCCTTTGAGGGATTCTGGCTCCTCCTGTGCCTCTTGATGTTATTTTGAGTTGGGAGAGGAATGGAAAAGAGAAAATAATATTTATTGAGCAACTGTTACACACTTTAAAAGTCTCTGCCTGTCTTATTTCTCTTTAATAGCCACTTTGGCTTTTTATTCACATTTCACAGATGAGAGGCTGGATCTCAGGTTTAATAACTTCCTTTGACTTCTTGTCAGGGACATGGAATCAGAGGACATAAATTCAACATCTAAGCAGATTTCTGTTGTATTCTAAATCTCAGAGTATTATGTCCTGCCTCAGATTTTGAGTTTAAAATAAGTCCTTTTTAGGGTATCGTCAAGTCCCTCCACATTCCACAGAGGTCATAAGTTTTGAGCATCACCCATGGTCCAAGGACATTCCTGCTGCAAGTGTAGTCCCTGCTAAGAAGCTTCTATCAAACAAGGAAGTTTTTAAGCCTGTTCTATTCATAGAAAAAAATTCCATCTAATTGAAATGTGATAAATCATCAAAGAATTTGAAGTGGTAGATATTTATATACAGTTCTGTTTGTTTTATAAGTTAAAGAAAAGATTCAAAAGCAAAAATGTAAAGAGGTCCTTAAGAAAAGAGTGTGGTACTCGAACAAATTCCCTGTATGATTAATGTTGCATATACAAATAGAATCCTTGAAAAAAAATAATGACTCTGGAATAATTAAAAAAATCCTCTGCATATCAAAGCTTTATTAACTTTGGTGTTTAATTTAAATCTTTACCAAAGTAATAGATTCCCTTGAAATATAGTAATAGACTTGTTACCAATTATATGATCATTTTTTAAAAATCTTATTGTCTGATACAGAGCAAACTAACAAAGTAGGCCATGCATGTGTTCAAATTAGAGTAAAAGGGAAAAAACAAGATTGCACCACGCACAATTTGAAATCATGTCTAAGTAATATAAAGGAAAAAAAACAGATGCTCACGAAACTAGTGGACTATTTTCTCCACAAAGTTTGAATCCTACAAGCACACATCTCCAAATGCACAATTCTATGTTCCTACAAGAAGAAACAAATGGAAATGAACTAAGGGTTAGTTAAGGTTTTAACTACTCTCCCATAAAAATTGCTAGGAGTAGCCAGTCTCTGACCTTGCTTTTTTTTTTTTTTTTTTGGTTTTTTTTCTCTGGTACCGGGAACCGAACTCACAACCTTGCGCTTGCCAGGCAGGCGCTTTTGCCGCCGAGCTAAATCCCCAGCCCCTGACCTTGCTTTTGTTTGCAGATAATAATCCTGCTCTGGAACCACACAGAAGCCATCAGCCCTGTGGCCTCCAGCTGTGACGTCATCCCAGACCACCAAATGTGATCGAGCTCTACTTAACCTTCTAATAATAAATTTTGTATGCTGAATTTGTAGATTTAGAAGGTGAGAAAGTACAGAATCTGTCCAGTTTCTGTGGACTTTGTAGATATCCAAACTAAAAAACAGGGGCACTTCGCTCCAAGAGCTGCTGATCCTCTTTAGGCATTAACAGATCTTTTCTGCACAAGCTGGTTCCAGATGAATCCTATAGTTGGGAAACTCACACCAAATATTTACAAATTCTGAACATACTTCAAATTAACTGCTGCTGTTCTATAGCAGTTTTTGACTTAGTATCTTGGGAAATTCTTTTCCATGGATATATATCTGATTTTATAATAGACATCAACAGGGAAATGGGATTTGCTTTGCAGAAATTCACTTTATAGCCAAATGTGCTAGCATGCATCTATTTCATAGAAGTGAAAGATGAATTTATTTATGTTCCTATCTGTCATCTCACTCTCTCTCTGTCTACCTCTCTGGGGCTTCTTTCTTGCAAAATCTGACAGGAAACAATTGACTCAGAGGAGAACGTGGTTAATTCAACAAATACAATAGGCCTTGTTTAAGAGAGCTCAGCATCACATTTATAACCATGGCACAGATCTCTCTAAATAGATTGCATTGTGTGATGCCTCCCCATCCCAACCCTCTTTCTCCCCAAAATAAAGCTAACTAATGAAGAAAATATCATGCTCATTGTGTTATGCTTATTTACAGACTATGAAATAGAGATTTGGCCATTGTATTTGTTTCCAAGATCACAAAGTTAGTAAGTGTAGCAATAACTTTAAAGCCAAGATTCTTTCCTGCCTTTTAACCTTAAATCCCACTTTTTCCACCCTCTAGCCACACTGTCGTTCTTGTTCCATTTAACAACATATTGATAAATCTTCTTCTTACACATAGGTTTCTTTTCCTTTCTGTTGAATTTCCTTGTTTGCTTCTACATGCAAAAATACCTCAGTGAACACTAAATTCTCAAAACCAAATTACCTTTTCTTTGTGTCTAAATTCTCTGATTAAAAATAAAACGCTGACCAAGGCTGATTTCAGGTCAAAGGAGGCTTTGAGCAAAATTGCAAAGTTGAAACTATGTGAGCGGTGGGAAGAGGCAGAGAGAAATAAGGACCAAACAGTCCAGATCTGTATGTAGGACTCACAACACTTCCTTTTTTTTTTGGTTTTTGGTTTTTCTCCGGTACCGGGAACCGAACTCACGACCTTGCGCTTGCCAGGCAGGCACTTTTGCCGCTGAGCTAAATCCCCAGCCCCAACACTTCTTAAAAGACAGGAAGACCTGAAGTACCAGTCATTCATTTGAGCCTCAGATTATTCACTTTCCTAACTAATCAATAATTGTTATAATTAAAATTGATAACTGCTAATAACATGACAGAGGGCTGCTGCCAGAATACTGATTGTGTCTTTGGCTTGGAAAGATAGGCAGCAACGTGGAACACTTATTTTCCAATTTGCTTTTAGCTGTGTGCAAATTGCTTTAGCTGTATCCAGCTGATTTAGACCTTGCCTGAAGGTGCACTAGATTAATTGGGAGCCACACATTCATTGCTTACAGAATGGACTCTGTAATTGGTGAAATTTGTTAGTGCCAGTTATAAAATAACTATATAGTTCTGCTTTTAGCTGTCCTTTCATTACTCTTTCCCTAAGAGGGGAGGGGAGACAATTAGAACCCACCTAAAGATTAAGATAGGTGCTTTTACATAAGGACTCAAAGGAATGTGTCTACAGTCAATATTTTATACAAACAAACGCTAGTGTGAATATGCTATTGATTTTTTCAAAAACTGAAAAAGTGCTTGAGCACATATGAGAATTTTTTCCTTCTTTGTTTTACTGAATCTTAGATAAGAGAGCCCCCTTTGCTGGCACTACAGGCAGATTCTTCAAAATGATTCTTTACTCTCTCGCCTGACTTTGTTGGGTTATATAGAACAAGCACTCCTTCTTACCTAGTGCAAATGAAGGAAATAAGAACAATTCAGAGACCACAGTTGGGTCCTAGAGTTCATCTTGTTTCTTCTGCTCTCCTCTTGGGGCCAGGGTACAAGGAGCCATCACACTGCCTACTTAAAATATCAGATGATGTTCAATAAATACGAAAGCCATTTCCGGCAGGAAGGCATTTCAGGAACAGGAACAGGTAGGCCAACACAACAACAACAACAGTAACGAAAAAGGTGTAATTATAGGTTAGGAAAACACTGATATCTGTTTTCTTAGCTCTCAAAAAGCATATTATGTCAACAGACTTAAATACAGAAGATGGCCAATTATATCTCTTCAACATTTCTTGGTATACAGTGCGGCAGTCAAATTGTACAGAGGCTATTGTCACCCACATTAGAAAACCATATGTCATAGAGTGAAGATACAGCCAAGACTCTGTCACTCAAGTGACAAAAGCCCCAACTTGAAGTCATCTTGGTAAACAAATACACAAAGAAAGAAGTGGGGAAGGTGCTGCTCATGCTTCAGATAACGGAGAAAAGACAGAGGGGGACACACGAGGTGTCACTGGGCTCAGGGCCTCAAAAGTATCATGTCGATCTCTAGTTATTTCTTGGCTCAATTTTATTTCCCACTGGCTTCCCTTCCAGAAAAGCTCTCGTCTTATTTGGAGACCCATAGTTCGATTACATCTGTTCACAAACTCTACTGAAAAGAAGTTTCTTTTTTCCAAAGAGTTCAGCAAAATCCCAAACTTAAGAACCACAGGCCAGTGCTAAGTCACTCGCCCACTCCTGAAGCAGTACTAAGCCCAGGAGAGTGGGTTGTCCTTCGCATCCACACTGAGCCCTGGGCTTCTCCTAGAGAGGGGTTGGGCTTGTGTGCCCTATCTACACCACTGCACAAGAGCAAAGGAGGGAAGTAAGTCCCCAAAGCAGCCCTGAGGTAACTACCAAGGGAAGAGGAAATGCATGCTCAGGAGAGATAACCACAAATGACCACAACATTGCTAAAAACCGAATTGTAGTAAACTGTTAGAATCTTTAGTAACACTTCTCAAACTTTCACACATTGGTATCTTTGGAATCCAATTAAACCTAAACATCTTTTGCTCCATAAAAATGCCACGTGACCAAGTCATTCCAAATGTTTCCTATTTCACAAGAGTTCGTGCACCCTTAGGATCCAAGCAATAACACAGAAAGGAGAAAATCTTTCTGAAATAAAAAATAGTCTTAAAAGTATTCCATCTCATTTCTTAGTAGAACAATTATAGGCTTTCTTTGCCTTCTGTCTCTTTGTTCATTCTCAGTAATTCTGATTACAGAGAATTCCTCTTATATAGTTATTGGTTATACTTACTGTGGATGAATAAATTGAAAATTCAAACTGTGACAAATGACTGCTTTGTCCAAATGACAGATTGTCAAGAACCAACCTTTCAATCGGATGACTAACCGTGGTCACAAGAGCGACGTCTGTTTTTTATTTGGCACAAGAAAATGAGTATTCTGACATATGGTTATGTACTGGGTCTAATTTCATGTCTTCAGCATGAAGACATAGTCCACCAAAAGTAAGTTTTCTTTGAAATTTTTACTTCTTATAGGACTATGGGTGATTACTAAGGAAGAGAAGTGCTACATAATAAGGCACCTTCTTTTATGGTTATGATCAGAAGGAGAAATTATTTGAAGATTAAAGTCACTGCTCAAAACAAAGTACTTCAGAACATGTGCCTTGGAAATGTTTATTTGAATACTTGAGATAGTTCATATAATTTTTAATTAAATGTTAACTGCATAGGAGAGTTAAAAATACTTAGACCAAAAGAGTTTGCACAGCACAGATACCATATTGAAGTAAAATGCCTATAAGGCAGAAAGAGAAAGACTCTCAAGTTATAAAACTTAGAAACTTACCTTGCCTGACTTCCCACTCTAAATGAAAACATCCTATAAATAAGAAGTCCAGGAAAATCTAACTTAGTCAATCATGTATAACATAATTAGCACAATGCTTTTCTCTTTTTTTTTCTTAATGTAAAGCATCAGAATTTAAGAGAGATATTTTAAAACACACATACACACCAGACAAATATTACTCTGAATGAATGGAATGAAATCTGCAATCACAAAATTTACTGTGATTAAAAAAATAAGCCCAGCATGGTGGTGCACACCTGTGATCCCAGCTACTTGAGAGACTGAGACAGGAGGATCAAAAGTTTGACATTAGCCTGAGAGACTAGAGAAATCCTGTTACAAAATCATTAATTAATTGGCTAATTAATTTTTAAAAATTTTATTAATTGGAGTTATAACTCAGTGCAAGACCCTGGGTTCAATCCCCAGTATCTCAAATAATAATAAGCCAATTACTCTACCTTCATAAAGGAAGATTGCAAGATTAAAATATAAGAACACAGAGAGACCAAATGCGCAGGGAGTATAATACATTGCTAGCAGAACTTAGAAAATAAATATATGAAAAATGAATTATTTTCAAATGGAACAATGAATTGTTCATTGTTAGAACAATGAATTATTTTCAAATGGAAAAAATGAAAGGGAAAACAGAATGTCAGGAAACCTAAAAAAGGAATGAGGAAGATAGGAATCAAATAAGTTAACAAAATAAGATAGAAATAAAGAAAAACTTTAAAAATCTACAGAAAAAAATAGTTATAGGGCTGGAGATAGCTTAACGGTAGATCACTTGCATAGCATGTGCAAGGCCTTAGGTTCAACCCCCAGCACAAGAAAAAAAAAGAAAAAATAGTTATAAAAAACAAAAATTATTCAACTGATAAAATTATCAAAAGATATCCAATGTATACATGATTGGAATCCCCAAAGAAGATAAAACAAAGCAAGTATTTATAAGTGATCGGTGCTTAACTTCCTGAAATAAAGGAACAACTGTATCTACATATTCAAAAGGGAGATCAATTGTCTGGAAATATTAAATCAGAAAAAACAACAGTGAGACAAAATTTAATGAAGTTATGAAAATTTTATATTTTTTCATATTTTACCTTTTTTATTTAATGGAAAACTGTTTCACAATTTTTTAAGTCCATTTTGTTATTCTATGAAGTACTTCTAGGTGTAAATACAAGTTTCGTTATAGTATATACATTCATTGTATTACTAAAAAGCAACTCAGCCAACAAAGCCTTGCAGAATTGAAGACAAGATTTTCCTAAGCCTTGGTAATTAACAAATATCCAAATAGCACTTTCTTTACGTTCATAAGTGTTGCATTGATTCATTTATGCATGAATTCAGTACTGGGGATTGAACCTAGGACCTTCACATTAGGTTACATCCCCAGTCTTTTGTAAATTTTGAGGTAGGGCCTTGCTAAGTTACTTAGGCTAGGCATGAAATTGTGATCTTCCTGTCTCAGCCTCCCAAAGTGGTAGGAATATAGGTGTATACAATCTTGCTCAGCTATGAACGTTCTTATTTAATGTCCAAAGTCATGAGATTTCCTTTCCTTAAATATCTGGACAAAAATAGCCCTACCAGTGTTATAAGGGCGCTATAACCAACAGCAAATAGCATTTTTAGAAAAAACTCACTAACACATGAGCTAATTTGGGGGTCGGTAGTTTGAGGGCTGGAGACGTAGCTCAGTGGTTGAGTGCTTGCTGGCCTGCAGGAACCCTTGGGTTCCATGCTTAACATAACAAAAAAGAAAAAAGGGAGCCAGATGTGTAATCATATCTATTGAAGAGGCTGAGGGAGGAGGATCACAAGTTCAAAACTAGCTGGGCAATTTCATAAGACCTTCTCTCAAAATTTTTTTGAAAAATGCAGTTTTTAGTCATTATACAAATGCTCCGTCTTAGACTGATTTCCCTTAACTTTTAAACAGAACACATTTATTGAGCACTTTATATTTGCAGATTTTGTAAAAATTCTTGATGTTTCAGAAAAAGTATAAATATGAGGTCATAGTATTATATTTGACATAATGGCTCTGCATTGATACAAATTTTATTAACTTTAAATTTTAGAAAGCAAAATTATTTGATTATATGATTTTAAACAGTTTCTTGAATTAAGCCTGTTTTAAATGGGATTTAATTTTTATGTTAAATTAGTGGTTTTTTGGTGGGGTTTTTTTTTTTTTTTTTTTTGCTTGTTTGCCTTCAGTGGTAGTGGTAGTGTGGATGGGACCCATGGCCTTCACACTGAGCTACATCCTGGCCCTTGTTTTTTCTTTACTTTGAGCCAGGGTCTTAGTAAGTCACTAACTTGTTCCAGCTAGCCTTGAACTTGCCACCCTTCTGCCTCAGCCTCCCAGAGTGATTAGATTACAGGCATAGCCATCAAGCCCAGCTAGGTGTGGCCTGAAGACTTTTAAACAATTTGATGTCCCTAGTTTATAGTGGAATAGTAGTTTCTATAAAGAAGACATTTCTATCTTTCAGGAACCAGATTTTATTATGATACAGAAGGAAAACGTCCTCTTAGCAACGAAGTAGAAATGGAATCAGAGGAGCAGACTGCGGAAAGGAAAAGGAAGATGGTAAGTGGGGAGGCCAGTAGTTGCTCTATGCTCAGTTAGACTGAGGGCGGCCGACGAGCCATGAGGATTTCTATTTGGCTTTATCGTTACCATTTAAGTAAATTCCACTGATCTTTTGTATTTTACTGGTGTTCGCTAGACATTTCAGAATGTATGACACTTTGGAAGTAATTTTATTAACATTTTTGAAGTTGGAAACTATTACTAAATCTTAATACCACAGTTACTATTCATAATGTCTCTCATTAGCTGAATGTACCCTTTTCTCTTCAAGATTTGATGTAAAATAAAAACAACTTTAAGCCTTATAATAGCATCAAATAAATGGCTTATGTAAAGCCAAAGCAAAAAACACTACTGTTTGCACTTAGGCAAAAAGCAGAGAAATGACAAAACACTACTGTTTGGTAGCTACTATTTCTATGTTCTTATACTGTTATCATAAAACGTAAGATTTTTTTCATTAAAATAAGTTTAAGCAGGTCATGGTGGCACACACCTATAATCCTAGCACTTGGGAAGCTGAGGCAGAAGGACTGTCACAAGTTCAAGGCCAGCCCAGTCTACATAGTAAGATCCTATCTCAAAAAAACCACCAAACAAAAAAGAAGGTTAAAATAAAATTCACATGGCAAATTTAAGATCCTATCTCAAAAAAACCACCAAACAAAAAAGAAGGTTAAAATTTATAGCTCTCTTATTACTTATTTTGTCAGTGTAAAAATGGGACAAGAAATTTCCTCAAAAAACAATGGTAATTAGCATTTTCAGTATAGCATGGAGGCCAGTTAAAAGGTCTACTCTTCCTTGTTGATGCGAAGATGATCTTACAAAGTAGCTGAGGGCCTACGGATAGGTTTTCTTCATTGCCTTTACTTGACATGCTACGTAGCCTCCATTCTAGAAGTCTCTGCACGACACTGCACAGACTGTCACATGGCATCTTTTCAGTTGGGTCTGGGTAGTCTTCTCAGCGTGAGTCTGTTTTGTACTATGATAGTCGTCCTTCCAGTACCGTGCTGTGTCCACATCTTGGTCAGAGCCTGGGGGCCAGCAGCACTGCTCTAATTCCAAAACCAGGGCAGTACGTACAGGTACACCCCCTTGGGACATGTTAGTTGAGGTGGAGTTAGTTGGGCAGTCTTGTCAAAGAGCATGTGCAAGGTTTGATCCCGGGTCCAAGATACCTGGACCTGACAGGCAGCCAGAGTAGTCTAGAATTTATCTTGTATTACTGGAACTTAAACTCCCTGAAATAAAGTATTTGTGGTTTATTGTCACAGCCCTGATCCTAAGAGGCAAAGTGCTTAGTAAATGAGCTAAATGTACGTTGTTCAGCCACTGAGGGAACAAAGTTAGGCAAATGAAGTTTCCTTGTAGTCCAGGAAGTCTTGCCCAAGACTTGTCGAGATTTTCCACAAGTTTCAGCCCATGTCCTTCACACCAAGAAGTGTTCCATAAAAATCTAAGCTGAGGGTCTGGGGGTTTAGCTCAGTGGCACAGTGCCCGCCTGGCAAATGCAAGGTTGTGAGTTTGGTTCCCAGTACCGGAAAAAAAAATCTAAGCTGACACGTTATGCAAAAAGCACTCTGCAAAGTTGACTTTAGTAAACACTATTTTCAGTCCTCACTTGATGAGACTTTGGTGTGCTTGCTTCTCATTGTTCAGACAGGACACCCAGCAACCACAGCTTAGAGGAGACGTTTCACTTGCTCACAGTTACAGTCCCTGCTCTTGGGAGAATTTTAAAATAAAGAAATAATATTCTGGTTGGGTGTGGTGGCTCGCACCTGTAATCCCAGCATTCCTGGGCTACAGAGTAAGTTCAAAGCCATCTTGTACTACATGGAGAGACCCTTTCTCAAAGCACACACACACACACACACATACACACACACAAACAAACACAGGGAAGGGAAAGAGAAAAAGAAAAAGAAAATAATCCTGTGGACAGCTATGCAAAAAGATCAAGTCATCTACAGTGAGGTTTTTATTTTATGTATAGAAAAACATTTCATTTATAACATGACTTGAATTTTGTGTTAGATACAAAAGTACCACTCTAGCTTCAAAAATATAGATAAATTAATCTGTGTTGTTCCTCCATGCTTTGATAATTTAACTAAAGATCTAACCCACCTGGGGTTTATTTTGTTGTAGAGAATTATATAGGACTCTAGGTCGGTTTCCATTTGGCTGTCCAGTGTGGCGAGGTGTACTGAGAGCAGTAACACCATGTTTGTTGCTCAAGCAGTGTTTTATACAAATAAAGATACAGCTACTCTCATGTTTTGTGGACTCACTCCACTTCTCAGAAATATTAATAGTACATTCCAATTATTTCATAACTTGTCTGATTTTTTCTTTAAGGAATATATCCCATAACCTGAAAATAAAACACAATTATGAGTTCTGTATGATAGGAACATGCGGAAGGAACAACCTCCCAAATTGCTATTAACAGGAGAGACAAAAAGTGAAAATAATCATATTCCATCAAAACATCTTTAAATGATTTTTTCACTGAAGTTTTTAAATTAGCTTTCAGGATTATTTCCCAGGTAAAATTGCTGTGCCCTTTTACCTCATGAGCAAATGCTACAATATATTTTTCAAAATACCAAATATGTCAGGATTCTGTCCAAGTTAAGTCATGGAAATGTTGGTAATATATCAATAATAGTAACAGATAATTGAAAATTCTATGCAAGTGGACGAAGAAAAATATACTTGTATAAGGAATAAAGTAGATACAGTATCTCGGAGGGTAAGTAAAGCTCACTATAAAGACTGATTGGTCAGAAGTAACAGCACCTCTGTATCTCAGAGGTGCTCATTTATCTCCTCCCACATTGCAAAAGTTCCCCATTAAAATGTGTTCCAGAGCTGGTGGTACCTGTTCTCTAAGCTGACCTGTGCGCTCTGTGCCCAGCCTCATTCCTCGGAGCCTGGGGTGGCCATCCTATTTCATGCTTTTTTTGTCCTCTGGCCAGCAGGATACAACTGAAGTGGGTGGCAGGCAAACAAGCAAATTGCTATCCATTCCCCACCCACCGTCCTTCCAGTCCACATTCTGCACCTTTTACATCACACTACGAAAATCCTGCTGTCACCTACTTCGATGTGGTTTCCTACCTCATGCCTGTCTTAAAGTCTTCCACACTTGTGCTATGGGCTCAGCTATATAGGCAGCTCCTTCAGGCCCTTCAACATGAAAGTAAAGTCCTTAGAAGAACTTGCAAGATCCTAATAAATATGCCACTTTCCCCACCTAAACACACATACAACTCCGGGTTGTCAGGCAATAAGCATTTTGTGAATTAAGAGTATTCAATGAGAAAACAAATGAGATTGATGTAAATCATCAGGTGTATTAAGCAAGATGATTAAATTATTTACCTAGGAGATATGTCAGATAAAGTAAGTAGAGCATGCATGCATGAATCCAGATAGAACAGAATGAAAGACCCAAGGAAACACTAAATATTCATGATATACTAAATATGCAAGAACACAGGAAGCACTGAATAGTCATTATATGCTAAATATACATGAGGACATGAAGCACTCATTATTCACAAGGTCTTACTTTAACCACTATTTGGCCTCAGCTATGCACACCCTTACCTGTCTCCCGTCTTGCAGATGTGAATACAACCCAAACTGCTTGTCAGGCTAACTCTGGAGCTCTCGGCGAGGCTCTGAGCAGTGCAGCAAGTGCTGTACTCCAGGCTTCGTCCATCGGCCTCACCCCTACTCTGGGCCTCATGACCACACCATCAGTGGGAAAAGCTGATGCAGTCCTGAGTAGAACATGACGCATAAACCTGTGTAGCACAGAATTCCGGGGTATGGTCTTTATCTGTTCCCAGCTTAAGTGCATGTATCCACTCCATTTCTTTGTACTTCCTTCTTACTCTATGCTTTCATTTAAATCGTTTCAATACAATGTGAGATACGTGTATCTTAAATCTATGACCTTTCTGCCCCACCACAGCAGGACAGCTCCCTCGTGTAGCTAGGGCTACCACTGCAGCAAGGTTGTACGCATGCGACACCTCAGCTAGCATCCTGCCCATCACCGGTACCCCAGCCACGCCGCTCTCCTGGCTATCTCTTACACATTTCAAATACGTTTTCTTCAAGGACTTGGCACTTACTCTTCCTGCAACCTGGAATACTTCCTCCAGGTATCTACATGACATGCTCCCTCACTTCCTTCAGGTTTCTCTTTCCTGGGCCTTTATATAAAATTTATCATTTTTAACAATCATTCTCTAATATTCAGTCACTAGCTGTCATCCTACCATTCAATTTGAACACTGTAGTTGGAGTTAACACAGATCCTACAGGCTAAGGGTTCAGACCTCCAAGAAAGTTGAACCTCCAGGTGTCAGTCACAAAGGGAGTCCCCAGCCTACCTGCACACCCACCCAGATAATTACAAATCTATGGTTTCTTGTGACCTTTGAATTCCCACTCACCCTTGCTTCTGTTCACTACATCACGAGACTGACTCACAGAACTTAGCAGAGAATTACACTTGCAATTACACATTTAATCTAAAAGATAAATCCTATGAACCCAAGTGAGAGAGACACAGGATGTATGGGCAGAGGGGTCCAGGGCCTCTTGGGCAGGCCCCTTCTCAGAAGCTTCTTGTACTTTGTTACAGACATTTTTAATTGAAATTTCTTTACACAGGAATGATTGACTGAGGACCATGAGTTACTGAACTGAAGCACCACTCCTCCCCTCCACGAATCATGTAGCTGGTTCCTTTGGGGACCAGTCCCCCACCTGATGCTATCTGGGGCCTTCCAAGAGTCACCTCAGAAACATAATTCCAGGTGTAGTTCAAAGATACTCATTATAGGGGCTGGGGATTTAGCTCAGCAGCACAGTGCCTGCCTGGCAAGCACAAGGTTGTGAGTTTGATTCCCGGTACTGGAAAACAACAACAACAACAAAAAAAAAAACAAATACAAAGACACTCATTATGAATAGCCAAACCTTCCAAAGATTGTGGGTGAGGCAGATTTTAAAAGGAGATGAGCCAGCGGTGTTCTTCCCAAATCCTTGTGTAACGTTCACTTGCTGTTTGAACACATTTACAGAGGGTCTGTTATAGGCTCAACACTACTCTGGGTGCTAGAGGTAACAGTAAAGAGGCCAATTCCCTTCCCTTACCAAGCTTACACACTAACGAGAGGAGAAAACCATAAATAATTACACAAATATATAACATGTCAGATTATTATCGACAACTGAGTCAGGTAAAAATACTATCGGCAGTCAGATAGGGCTGGGCCCTCAAGAGGGTCAGGGCAGAGATGAAAACTCTTTACAACTGTGGTTCAAAGCACATCTGTAGGAGGCCAGGCCTCAAGATAAAGATGAGATGACCAGGCCCAAGATAAGTGGTAACACCTGGTCTACTGAAGTCTAGATAGACATCAGTCACCTCCATGGGTGACCAAGACTCTCGGACTCACTGCCTCCTAAGAAGTTCTTTGTTCTTTCCATGTGCATTGCTATGCGACCTGCTTCCCTACCAAATCAATACTGCTTAAGTGGCTACAATCCTATTGGTTGATTATAGCTGTAACCCATGTCGTACCCCTGTGGTTGTGCTCCGTAAAACCTTCCCTGAGAAATGGGGTCCTCAGCAACCCACTCAGGGCCCCTCCTGACTCTCAGGAGCTGTGTTTCTCCCCCTCAGTAAATATTTTCTACTCTTAACCTCCATTGTGCCTAGAATTCATTCTTCAATTTTGGGAAATACAAACTCAGTGTATCAGACATCCAGCAGGTTGGGAATTATGTTTCCCTTATACTGTTTGATCCATTTGGAAGGCCCATATCATACTCCTGATAGCATTTCCTATATCACAATGGTAGTAAATAATACAGAGAGAAGTAGGACAAAGAGGATAAGAAATACTTAGAAGGGGAAACTTCCATTTTTTGCTATAATAAAAACGTATATTTGGTCTTTTCCCTATCCTGCTCAATTTTTGACACTGAACTCCTAAAACACTTGGCCCAGCTGCATCTGGTTATGCCAAGGACAGAAGTCCATGGCATTTGGCACAAGAACTCGGAATGTGAAAATCATAGCCAGTTAAATGATGGTGAAAAGATCACTAGGCTGAGCAGCAGCCCCAAGCCACATTCAGTGAAAAGAGGAGGCGAGCCCCGAGGAAGCAGATGCACAAGGAGAAGTAGAGGGAAGAGATTATGTGACACTCCAGAGAGATTTAGGATTTTTTTAAAAGACCATCGCCGTGACCTGCCAATTCCCTTTCTCTCCTCAGATATTATGAGACAGTCTTAGAAGATTTCAGTAAGCCTTCTTTGCAGCTAAGCTGGTTTGATTAGGCTTCTGTTTCTGGCCATAAATCTTCCTTGGAAAAAGGCTTTAGGTGGCTTTGGTGGAGGGCTGTCTAAGCTAAGCCAACACCAGAAATCGTCTAGCATCCTGGTCCCATTGCTCATCCCTAGCTTCCCGGTCCTCACCAAGCAAGTCCACTCTGTCATGCTGCGCCTTCCTGGCGCCTTGGCCCCAAGGAGAACCATTTCCATTTCTTTCTTGGGAATCTGCAATTTGACCTAAGGGATGTTAAACAGCACTGCCAGTCCGGGGATGTCGTGCTTAGAGAATTAGGAAGTTAGCTTGCAGAGAGAATGATGAGGCAGAGGAGGAAGAGGGGAGGACAGAGAGGCGGCCCAAGGTGCCTAATAGCCAGAAGGCCTCAGGGCCAGCCTCCTCTAAGCTTGGCTACACCTCCCACCTTTGTTCCCATGGGAACCCTGTGCCCTTCCATTAAATTTGTTTGTTTTGCTCCAATTTGAATAGGTTTTTTGTCATTTCCAGTGAGAAGAATGTGACTGGAAGGCCGGAGGTGCGCAGGTGAGTCCTGCAGAGCCCAGGCAGCTGCGGAGAGGAGTGGGCGGAGGTCAGCGATGCTCCACCTGCAGAACATCCCAATCGCACTCTGTACCAATCACCCACACTCTCCACTGCGCTACATGAAGGGAGTCCCTCTCCCTGACCCGGGAGCGTGGCTCAGTCCCCTACATCACAGCCACCTCCCCCGCCAGAGTGAGAAGGACATCCGCCAGCTCACAGCCTTCCAGGGGCTCCTCTGCCCCAGCCGGAGACTCAAGTCTGGAACATCTACAGCAGGCTGGCTGCCAAGAGGGCTAGGGACTCTAGGGGCGGTTCCTCTTCGCTTCTTACCAAGGCTTACTGAGCTTCAGACAGAAAGGGTGAGTCCCGCCAGACTCCAGGAGAGGGGTGGGAGTGGGTCACACGCTGTCCTGCCTCTGGGCACGTCTGCCACTCCTCAGCTAGGCCGGGGCCAGGCCGGGGCCTCTGCGGGCCTGCTGGAGCTGCTCAGGACTCAGCCTTGCCTTGGTCTTCAGCCCAGAGGCAGCCTGACGGGATGGAGGACAGGCTGGTCGCCTAATGGTTGTCATGGAATCCATCTTTCATTGACTGTATCTGTGTATCTTATCACTGAGGAAATGGGATGGTACCACAGACACAGGCTTCTGGGTTACTGAAGGGAGCACACCAGGGTCCCCAGTTCCTAAGCTTCACCAGAGAATCCCGAAGGAAGTGCTCAGCTCCACAGCAGATCTCAGCCAACAGAAGATCCGCAGAGTTTTGCTTTTTTCAGTTCCACAGTGATAAGAGGCTTCTCCCAACAAGAGAGGTCTGTGTCCCATCTATATGGGTTGTGAGGGCCATGTCTGGGCTCTCTGTCCCTAGGAAAACTTGACTCTCAGTAGGTACTCTGGAAGCATTTATTGAATTCTGCTCCATATAGTTTATCCACTTTCAAAATTCCTTCTTTTGAAGGAACTTGTCCCTCTCCAAGGGTTTCCAGGCACTAGGTGTGCTGGGTGGGGCAGTAGCTGACCCCTCGCCCAGACAGGGCACTTCACAGGGGACCACGGAGGTTTCCTTTTTCCCCTGGTAAGCACTGACATTCTGCTAGCGGGAATCCATTGTGAGTGGAGAGAGTGCAGCGGCAGAGTACTGCTCCCCTTGCAGCAGGAACTGTCCGGGGCTTCCTCAGCTACTCCTCTTCCAGCAATAGTGAGGCTGTTTTCTGAGTTTGGAGGAGGCGCTTTCTCAGCTTCAATCCTTCAGTAACTCTAAGTTAGTGCCTCTAAAAATAAACCGCTTTGCTCCTGCTCCTCAGGGAATCATATTTGTTCCTGATATGGTGAGCATCTCTGCTCAGCTCATGACCTAACTTGTCCCTTCTCCTTCCTACTTTTTGTATACCAGGGCCCAAGCCCAAGACATGCCTGCCTAATGTTCCAGCCCTCCCTTCTGTTCCCTCTCCATTCTTGTCAGAGTGAAAGTTACTTGTTTTGGGAAGAAGGTAGGTTTCTCTCTCTCTCTCTCTCTCTCTCTCTCTCTCTCTCTCTCTCTCTC